GGAGGGAGGGAGGGAGGGAGGGAGGGAGGGGGGACAGGGGCGGAGGAGCGGGGGGGGAGACAGACCAGATGGTGTGGAACTAAGGATGCACGTGTTTGTGTATCACAGGCTGGTTGCCGAATCTTGGCTGAGTTCTGGAACGAGGGTACTGGATACGAGAAATCAAAACCCAGCGACGGCCTTCCATTGTGAAGTAGATGTTCCATTCTTGTATCGATTTCGTATCTGGCGTTGCGGGGAGCTTTTGACAAAAGTGACGCAGCCATGTCGGAGGAAGTTTTCTGTTTTATACAATATCGGTGCTATCCTTTGAGAGGCAACGCCGTAGGAGAGATAGCAGCGTTGGTCTTGTGCCAGTTGGTATTCTGGTGTGCTGCATACCCCCACGGCCGCTCACCTATCTGGCCGTGGTGGGGATACCAAGGGCCCCGCACGACCGGTGACCAGCCCGGTGTTCTCTTCCTCTTTCCTCTTGGTTGTTCACGTCATTCGGCGACGCAATAGCCGCCCCCTCCGCCGAAAGATACCCATATTCAAGGTGCTGGTAACCTTCGATCGTTGGCTCCCTTTCGCGCAACCGAGACTTGAGCTCCTCCGTATGCGTGTGGTGTGCATGTGTGCATTCTGCCGACCCCTTGATGTCCACCCGTTTGCTCATTCTCTCGTTGTCCGCCTGTCTGCATCATCGTGTTCCCGCATGATGGTGGTACATAGCAGTGGGATCTCCGAGCACACGCAGATCGGCAGCAGCGGCAGCACCAACAGGAACAGCTGCAGATGCGGCAGAGATTGGTGCAGAGCCAGCAGGAGCTGAGGTGCTGCCGGAAAGAGGAAGAGCGCTCGCGGGCAAGGTGTGTCCGGAAATATGAAGCGAGGAGACCCCAGGTTGGCGGCCTCTTGAAGGGCGCTACACTCGGCGTCCGGCTCCTGCAAGCATGAGTGGATAAGCTGCGAATCCACACGTTCGCCACTAAGCCCGGCTTGCTCGTTAGCCTGCCTGCGCTGACTGTTGTGCAGCAGTGCTGGCGTTGTACAGCCGTAAGGTCTAGTTTGCTGCACCGTGCCCGCGGGCAGGCAAGCCCGTCTGGCTAGACTGCTCTCGTGCAAGCTTTCGCAAGGGATGATGCATTGGTGTCCCCGGCGGGTTGAACTCCTCAAGTTTTTCACACCGCGTCTGAATGGGTACTCATGGCCATCTCACGCCACACGCACACACCCCTTTGTGGATAACGGCCCGAATATTGTAATTGTCTGTCTTATGGTTCCTGTCGCGCTAGCTCGTTTCGTTTCTTTTGTTCTTGTTGCTGCTGCTGTTGTTGTTTGTTGCAACCGCACACACCCAGTCCCTCATGTTGTTTCCATCCTGATGGCCACGTCTCTACACACCTCTGCATGTTAGCACCTGCCTGCCCCATCACTCCCTCTGTCCCTTTCCCTCCACCTCTTCTTTCCGTGTGTATTAACTGAAGGTGTTCCCAACTGGAAACGCGGTTGGCTGAAGCTCGAGATTGCCTGGAGGAGCAAAAAAGTGTGACGTCATCAATGAGACGCGCTGCTGCGAGAGCTCATGAAGATGCCGAAGCCGCGCGTAAGCAGGTGGGAGACGGAACAACACATATTTGTTGATGTTGTTGCTGTTGGGGTTACTGTTGTTGTGGTCATGGTTGCTTTCGGTGCTGTCGGCGTAGCAACGGTTGTGGTCAGCAGGATTCGTTGCAGATGCTGCTGTTGATGCTTCTGTTGCCGCTGCTACTTTCCGATAGAACGAATCCAACAAAAAGCCGTTTGGACCTCATTTTCTTGGAAGGTGGAGGACACCAAGGCTCTCATGTCCCGACAAGAGTTCGAGTGCCGGCGACAGGTGTCCCTCCTAGAGGCACGCCTCCTGGAGGCCGGGGTCCGAAACTCCCGACGGAGAGACTTACTGCAGCTTCAGGTGAGCCGTTGGTGGTGCGCACCCGTCGCGTCCATGGGGTTGGGGGGGATGATCGAACGGAGGGCGGCATGGGGAAGAACGAGAATGGGGGCGCGATAGGATGCTACAGCAGTAGGGTTGTAAATTGAGGCGGACCCCAAGTTGTTGGTCGCCAAGATGTTTTTGTCCGAGGTTTCGCACATACCGACGTTCGGGCTAAGAGTCAAGCAACGGAGAGTTTTGGTGCGGTTTTCTCCTCGCGACGTACTTTGGGTTACCTACCCATTAAGTTACCACCAAGCATCCGCGGACTTTGGGTTTGATGTCTTAGCATGGCCTGTGCAACGTGGATGTGACACGCAGGCATGTGCCCAGGAGGATCTGGTGAAGGCGCTGAGGGAACCCGTGCTGCCGTCCACTTGCGGCGACACAGTCGTCAGCGACGTGTCGGATCACAGCCTCCGCGCGGAGGAGGTTGAGAGACCGGCCGCCGCGGCGGCCTCCGCCTCTGACGAATGGCGGAGCAGCCGGTAGCGGTTGCGACGGCGCCGGGTGTGGGTTCTGCTGCGCTTCGGACTTGTCCGGCTCGGGAAATGCCCGCCACACGAAGATGTAAGGTGGTGGCGCCAAGGGTGGCGGTGAAACCGAAGGACGCGAAAACTAGCGACGACTGCTTATTGGCGACGGCGAGGATTGGTGGCGTATTCCCACGCATCTGGCGGATGCTATTTGTTTGTTGACGGCGTCGTCTGGTGTGTCCACGGTTTTGCGTCGAGGATACGGTGGTTGGATTGAGCTTAGCCACCCTTCTTCCCGTAATCGCGGGGTTTTATGTGGTACTCGTGGTCTATCCCCTTTCCGCGAAGTACCCGGTGGGTTGACTGAGTTGTTCAAAGGTGGAAGTTGCGACGATCTGCTTAGTCTAATGGGCTACCTAGTCCATTTACCCGAAGCAGTCAGCCATCATCAATCGCATTGAATGATGCTTGTTGTGCCCCTCCGGGGCAGTCGGATGATCTTGGCGTACCTCCTTCGCCGCAGGGTGGGCAACCCCCTTCGCAGATACCCCCTTATCTCGCATGTACAGTTCTGGTAGCACACTCGCGCGAGGTTGACGGTCACCTCCCCATTTTTGTACAGATTGTGTGTTGTGGTAACGATGTATGTAATTCGGCATTTTTTGTCTTTCCCAAACATTCGGACAAATGCTCCTGGTGTTTCCTACTGTAGCATTTTCAGCATTTTGGTGTATGTCCACGAACTGTTTATACTCCCCAGACTAGTTTGTCTTGTGAATGCTCTGGCTTGTGTTCTTACCGAAAGCATGCGAGAGCACGCACGGTTCGGTGAAATCGCACGTACGTACCGGCGATGTCGCCACCCCGTGCGACAATAACGGAAGGACGAGATAATTTTTTTCGTTTGACTATCGTAGAGGGATCCTTGATATAGGACCGGGGTGCGATATCACCGACACCAAGTTCCCCGGGTGGTTATGGGACGCTCACCGCGCGGTAGGTACCTCGCGGTCTCACCGCGTGAAACGTATCGCGGTATCCGTACCACCACCGTGACAATGTTGGGTACTGCACGTATCGGAGTTTTCGCACGGGGATGTGCGTCAAAATGCAGGGGGTGCAGTTTACTCAATCAATGACAAGCATGTCGGGGGTAATCGCAACCCCCGTGCGAATTCACGTTCAGGGTCGAAATTATTGACTTCGATTATCTCACGGGGATTGGTCATACATCGCACGTGCCACATCACATCGCATCCCCGCCCCATCAAAAGGCAAGGGCGGAGTAATTTCAACTCGATCGCACCCTTGTGCGTTCTCTCCCATCTTAACGGTACCTCCGTGCTTGTTTTGCATGCCAGCAAAAGAAGACAGTCAGGGGAGATTCGAATCGGGCGTACCGTCTGCGGCATCGGGAGAACGACAATATCTTTTTATTGTCGAAATCAATGCAAGTAGTTTGGCCTCGAGAGTAGGCAAATATCGACCGAGCAATAACGGCATACCGTCTTGGCACGGGTCGGCTGCTCCGCACAGGCCAGGGGCAGGGGTGTGCGGAGACCCCGATACCTTTGGTGAGGTTGGGCAGGTGGGCAGCTTCCCCTGGTATCCAGCGTTCTTCATGGGACACTACCGTGCCACGGGAGCTTTTATAATGGGCTCCGGTGCTGCATTCTGGCACCGTCACGCTCATTGGGTGCAAGTAGTGATGATGAAATCGTTGCATGATTTCTACAGCAGTAGAACTGCCTTGGTAGTGTTCGATGTTGCTTTTGCCGAAACAAGCAACCGCTATCCCCTCTATCAACCAAGAACGAACGCGTACAAACCACGAGAGACAAAACGACATCGTACCCAACAACGTGTCGCTACATAGAATGTGTGCGTGAGAACACACCTTCTTTGTCGGGGAAGTTCCCGGCAGTTAATTCTCCACGTCGGGTTCTTCATGTTTTCGCCGCATGTGTTCTTGAGGATCGCACGGATCGGAGTGGTCGCAAAAGGGTGTGCGATATATTTTCTGCACAGGCATCGAGTACATGGCACGTGTGGACATCTCGCACCCTTGTGCAAGAAACAAACTTAGAACGAGAACAATCAATGAAGACGACCGCCCAGTCGTATCACCAACCTCTGCTACCCCTGCTACAAAAAGAGACAACGTCGGGTACTCACAGCAAGTGGCATTTTCATCGTGTCACCCGCCCGTGGCAAGATCAAATCAGTGTTGACGACAGTCTTGCCCGTCCTTTTTCAGGTGGAATGGGGCTTCAATGCGAGGGGATCCCGGAAAGAGCTTGATCGCGAGAACTTCAGAACAACAAACAGAAGTAGGCTAGTCTGGATGGTTACGACAACGCTGGCAGCTGCGCCGTCCCTGACGAAAAATGGAACCCGACAAAGATTGATTGTGCACGTACTACTGTCGACTATACGCTATTCCATCTGAGGGGAGCAGCGTCGAGAAGAGTGGAAAGACACCCTGAATCACGGACCAAGCCTGTTGTGCTAGACGCACAAAAAAAACATCCATGTGACTGCCCCTGGGACCCGCTACCTTAGGCAGGGACCCGGCACACCCAAACACCGATGAAAGATCCAAATAAAAGGCTGCACGGGCCGATCCTCAGATCCTTCCACCGTGGGGCTGTTCATTTTGAGCCAATAGGAGCGCACGAGGTTGAGTGCGCTCCTTTCGATCTTACACACAATTCGCCAAACCTGCTCCCGTTTTCCCGCGTGTTCCTTCTCCCTCTCATCTGTAGCTTCTCTCTCTGCTTGCCGCTTGTCTCTCTGCTTACGCCGAGAGTCAACTGGCTCTGTGCCGTGACTAAATCGTCGAGCACCACAGTGCTGCTCCGTCTCCTCCAGACACAGCAGTGGTTGGCAGCTACGCCAAGAGAGAGCCAACAACCATGGATGCCTCAACAACAGTCTCACCGTCGTTGAGCCAAGGGGACAACAACCGAGAAAGGAATCGCTTACGGCCAACCCTGAGCAGAATGCGGAGGAGCTGCTCGGAATGCGGACGGAAAAAGAGGAGTTGCGATGGTCAACGGCCGTGTGGGTGAGATCTGTCACCGGTAGCGGATGCGTTTCACATGTGCACAGACATGTTGTGCACCTTGGTACAGCCGCTCGTTCGACAGCAGCGTTTGGCCACCCCCCCTCGTGGTGTGAGGGATTTGTTCTGCAAGTTCCAACGCTGCAAAAGAGCTCCCTGATGCAAACGGAACAAGAACAGAGATTCGTCTCATCCACATATCCTTGAGCTTTCGTGGTACGTGCCCCGGTTTGATACACCACTGCCGCGGGCGTGTTAGAATTTGCCTTTATGTGGAAGTTGTGCCGAGTGTCGGCGGCATTCGCCAGTCGATCGCACTTATACTAATTATTTACCACAAGGCCGTCATTCCCACCGGTTTGAAGGGGTGTGGCTTGTACCCCAAGGTTACAATACACGATGGCTGTATCTTCAGGGGAATGATCGCTGGGTACAAATTGAAACCTACCTGTCGTTGCTGTGGCATCGGGGGTGGTTATTGTGGTTGTGGCTTCTTCACGTTGAATAATCCCTCCCCACCAGCCCCCCAAGGAACCAAATGCCGAGCTTACGTGGCCAAGAGATGCTGCCTCAAGCACACCAACACAAATACGTAGTCTAGATGGTGTGTAGCAAGAAATTGACCAATTCTTTCCGCAGATAGTCGCGCGAAGGCGCGAAAAAGTGCGAGTGATCGCACACGGTCTACCGACTGACTTGCAAAGCCCGACTTCTGTATACAATTCCATACCCTAAAGGGCTCAAAGCCGACGGAAGTGTGCAAGAATAACGCATCCCTTGAGGGATTCGCCACCACCATACTTTGGCACTGGTATCCTTTGGATTGCGCAGCAATCGAGCTGTGAAAGTCGCTCTACATGTGGGCGTTGTGCGATTGTTACCTTCTTTATACAAGAGATACCTTGAAAGAGGACTCTTCAACGAGGATATACCTATCGCACGAAACTTGTCGTGCGATACGCAGCTGACTTGACCAAATCTCTCTTGTACAAACATTTCGTAGGCGCTGTGTGGCATCAGGCAGCCACTGCATGTACACCGGAAGGCGGCGGCATGGCCAACAACCACGCAGGCAGCAGGATCAGCACCGGTCGCCCTATCACGAAGATGTGAACGTGAAGGAGGCCCTGCTTTGCCTTACGACCGGTGCACTCGTGTCACCTAGAGTGTTGCCGTTGAAGAGGTGAGGTACAAAAGTTATGTTGCCTCGTATTTTTTTCTTTTCGAGTTGCTTTGAGAGAAAGACCATTTTGACCAGCGAATATTGGTGAACAGAAGAGTGTAGGGTTGTTTTCGCTCGCTCAGAAGACCTTGCTTTTTTCATCAAACGTTCATCGTGATTTACATGTAATATAGACGCTGAAGACGCCACGGATGCATCTGGCCTGTGTGTTCCTCTCAACACGGATCCCGCGTTCGCAATACATGCAAGGGAACGCACGGGAAACGAATGAAAACAGGAATCACAGCTCTAACACAGATGAGGGTGTGACCTACTCTACCTCTTGTTGAATGGTAGTGGTACATGCACACATCAACCTATCCACCCCCATCAAATACAAGTTTTTCACTGCGATTGTAGAGCTCTACAACATTACTTTCACTGCTTTCTGGTTCTATAACCACGCTTCAATTCTACACAAGATACCCCTAAACCAAACTGGATCAAGGGCACGAATTTGCTCCCGCATGCCCCCTTCATGTACGCGAGTGGAGCGAGTGGAGCGGGTGACGACGTCAAGTCTTGGGTCTCTTCTGCTGCCTCCAACTTGTGGCGAAATAGACCACCGTTAATTACATTCACAACGCTTCGTCTCTGACTTTCGCTCTGCGATTGTGTCTCTGTCTCTCTGCCTCTCTCGGTCTCTCTCTCTCACGCGCGCTCTCTCTCCCTATCTTTCCCGCTCGCTGCTCCCCTGTCTCCCCATTTCATGTGTTTGCACAAAATCGTGCACGCCCACTAGCCACGACAGAGACATGTATAGGGACAAAGTAATGAACAGTTCTTGGGGCGTCTTGGATCCATCAGTGAAACGAGTATAGCATTTCGCTGATCCATCCGCCGAGCCAAGTGCGACATCACCCGACTTCTCCTCTGTGGGCGGGGGAGGGTGGAAGAGCCGAGATCGAACAAGCATGCATGCCAGGCACAAGGGCAAACCCATAATAGATGACAGACACGAAAGTTCCCACCACGATTGGCACCACCCACGGCGAACTTTGGTCGGCCACTTACAAAGCAGCGGCAGCGATGTCGACCAACATTAAAACAGCTGGCATGTCGCCTCTCTCGCTGACTGAGATTGCCCGTGTCGTCTTGTTTGCACAAGGTTTCGACCCCCCCTTCTCTTCGCCGATGTATTGCCCTATTTTCTGGTGTGCCAGGTGTAGGTTTAGTACTTCTCCGGCAACTGGTCTTGTTGGAATGCAGGAGAACGCCTTCCTCAGCGACTTCTTCGGCTGCAATGGCTTCCTTCCACTCACTACCCCAAGGTATCCCTTCCAGTTTGCCTGGCGCAGAAAGCACATTGAGCCGTGAGCACTGCCTGCGTCCATGGGGCAATCATTCGCGATGTTTTGTGTATGTCCTCGAAGCTGCAGCAAAGCGCGGGCGTTGAAATTTTTGTCCACCAACTTATCGGTTTATGGTGTTTTTGTATCTCTCCCTTCCTATTGGACGCCACGCAATCATCCGACCCATGCCACCTCCGTGCCATCTG